CATTGTCCATTTGAGGCTCGATGTCTTAGTTACACCCGGCGGAAGTTCTGTCTTTAAATTCAGCTCCGTTGTTTTCTGAGAGTATTTAAAGGCGGGACGGCATTTGATGAAAACTACAAATTTAACTTCAGAGTTTAGAATCTCCTAAAAAATCGTACTTTGTATGGATTTTAGAAAAATTTGGCCGTTTTATGGCTGGATGTCTTGGTTCAATCGTGTAGAAATTATGGGTATAAATTCCGCTCCGTCGTGTTCAGAAGAATTCCTTAAAAGCGGACAGACATTTGGTGAAAATTGTAAATTTAAACTTCAGCGTTTAGAATCTCCGAAAAAATCAGGCTTTGCTTGGATTTGAGTGAAACATTGTCCATTTGAGGCTCGATGTCTTAGTTACACCCGGCGGAAGTTCTGTGTTTAAATTCTGCTCCCTTGTTTTCTGAGAATTTGTTGAAGGCGGGAGGGCATTTGATGAAAACTACAAATTTAACTTCAGGGTTTAGAATCTCATAAAAAAACGGTTTTCGTTTGGATTTGAGTGAAATTTTGTCGTTTTATGGCTTGATGTCTTGGCTACACCCTGAAGAAGTCCTGTTTTTTGATAAATTGTAGTACACAGTAACAGCCTACAGTAAACCAAACCAAAACTCAGCTCGAAAAGATGTCCGTGGACATAATTTTTTGTGCGCAAAAATTAAAAAGCTTTTTTTAAATAAATCTATTGCAAACAAAGGTAAAAGCTAAAATTGGCCATTGAAACCCTGTATATCGACCACGGCTGCCCAAATTGCAAAATTATTTTATGAAACTCGTATTCATTTTGAGATAAGAAACTGAAACTAGCTAACGTTGTATATACAACGTCTTAATATGCTCATATGAGCATATTAAGGCCCACATTTCTATTCACTTTGCATTACATATCACTAATAGTTGTGTGTTTGTGTGCAGGGAATTTTTGTGTTCAAACCGAAGAAAAAGCCCCAACACACCACCCTAGATGAATTGTTTTCCGAGAACCGTTGGTACCAGACCTACATCAGCCTCTGGACTAGATTGAACCAAGATTTTGAGGTAAGTTAACTGTACACGATAATTTTAATAAGGAAAAATAAACTAATGTAAAACATGAATAAACTAACATCATGTAAATCACGAATTAATTGCGAACAGGCAGCATGTCTGATCGTCACTTTTGGATCAGAAAATGTTGTTTTTGCAGCTTGCAATTTTTGGAGCCCAATCAAAATTAGCTCTGTTAAATATATTTGCGACGTATTTTTGTTAACATTCGTTTTGTTTCGCAAATTGTATTAAATATCTTTTTTAAGCGTGTTAAAAATTTCAGGATTTGACTGAGAGCATGTTCACGTCTATGACCTCAGACCTGCTAAACTTTGTCAAAACGAGTCACCAGAACGACGTAACCGAAATCCCAACAGCTGCTTTACTAACAGGTAACAACGAAAACTCTTGATTTTTTCAGTCTCTTGGCATAAAAACAAGCAGAACTTTCTAGTTAGTCGCCTGAATCATTCCAAGCCCAAGATGCAAAGTGCCTACCTAACTGGAAAAGTGTGGGAACCGCTTCTTTAAATTATTATGACCGAGAATTTTCTTAGGTATCAACATGCCGGATCATGATGCCCAGTTTGCCAGTCTGAAAAGGCAAGTGAAAGAAGACGTGAGTCCTTATGTAGCCTTTCTGAGCAGCCAAGATTGTGGAAATGTTAAAAGTTTAATGGAAATTATGATCAGCCAGTTTATCGGCCTAAGTGACGATAGAGAAGAGTACGAGGACGATTTAGTCAAGAACACTTTGAAGAAGTCTAGTTTAAACATGTCCCTGCTGGAAAGCTGGTATCAGCAGGCAGAGAACGAGCTACTAGTGGTGATAATTCCCGACTTTGAAAGCTTTAACGCTAAAGTACTACAGTCCTTCATTCTAATCATCAGTTCCCACTTAGGAAAGCTGCCTTTTGTGTTCATTTTTGGGATCGCCACTTGCATCAGCACGTTGCACACTTCCTTCCCCTATCATGTAAGTACTTAAAAATACAGCCCGCAAAAGTGTGAAGTTATTGGTTTAGGTGACTATGAAAATCAACGTTCATGTATTCAAATGCGAACCATCCATAGTCTATCTAAACCAGGTGCTGGAAGGGATTTTTCTGGATATTTTCTGCCCGTTCCACCTGGGAGGGAAGGTGTTGGACTTGTTCACCGAGATTTTCCTCTTCTACGACTTTTCAGTGCAGAATTTCGTGCAGAACATCAAGGTAATTGTCAAGTTTACTAATTGCAGCGTGGTATTCTCAAAGGGTCTAAGTGCCATTTTAAACAAATATTTCTAAGAATTATTTATTTTATTTACTAATAGGGGCAGCTGTAAATTTTAGAAGATTTTTTCGATAATAATCGTCGATGTGCCAACGGCAAGTGTGTTATTATGAAATTAGAATGTTTCTGCGCTCAGAAAGACATTTGAAAAACCCCGGTATAATTTTTTGGAAAGCGGTGGCTGAAAGCGGAGAAAATCAGGAAAGGAATGAAAAAAAAATTGAAACGAAGTAAATATAGTGGTGTGCAATATGTACATAAATCGGACCAAAATGGTACCTAACGTTAAAAACCGCTTTATTTATTTGCTTGGGTTGCCATTTCTGCATTTTTTTATTCTGATTTTTCTTCTGCCTTTCTTTTCTTCAGTTGTCATTTCTTAATTACGACTCTCATCATTGTTATTTTGAGAGCAATTTCCACACTCTTGCTTTCGTTTCAAATATAATTGTTTTTCTTCATTATGCTACGCATTGTTTGCTTCTTTATTTTTCCTTCCAGGGCCGTTTGGTGGTTCGTAAAGGGTTCCAGATTTTTCGAAGATTCATCGACTTTAAACGACAACTTTAAATGGAAACCGAAAAATCTAGAAAAAAAATTGTTTTTCGATATTTCTAAGTCGTGAGCAGAATGCGCTTGATTGAGAGTTTTATCAATCAGAAAGGGAGCGCTTTCGTTATCGGGTGAAACTGGAAAGTTTTTTCGGATTTTTGTTCTTTGAGTATTTTTTTTCTTGATGCTTGTTTTCTTTTACTTGAGTTGTCATTTCTCAATTGCTACTCTCATGGTTGTTGTTTTGACAGCAATCTCCACACGTTTGCTTGAGGATCGTTTTCAGTGAAGTTTTTCTTTAAAACATCCTTTCTTTGATGCTTCAAATCTGCCCATAATTTTGTTGTGCTTTGCAGGATTTTCATCATGTTTAAACTCTTGCTTTCGTTTCAAATATAATTGCTTTTCTTCATCATGCTACGCACTGTTTGGTTCTTTATTCTTCCTTCCAGGGCCTCTTGGTTGTTCGTAAAGTTTTCCAGATTTTTCGAAGATTCATCGACAACTTTAAATGGGAACAGAAAAATCTAGAGAAAAAATTGTTTCTCGATATTTCGAAGTCGTGAGTACAATGCGCTTGAAAGGGAGTTTTATCAATCAGAAGGGAGCGCTTCCCTTATTGGGTAAAACTGAAAAGTTTTTTCGGGTTTTTGTTCTGTGACTATTTCTTTTTCTGTCCTGATGCTTGTTTTCTTTGCTTGAGTTGTCATTTCTTCATTGCTACTATCATGGTTGTTTTTTGAGAGCAATTTCCACATTCTTGCTTTAGGATCTTTTTCAGTCAAGTTTTTCTTTAAAACATCTTTTTTTTTTGCTGCTTCAAATCAGCCCATAATTTTGTTGTGCTCTGCATGATTTTCTTCATGTTTAAACTCTTGCTTTCTTTTCAAATATAATTGCTTTTCTTCATCATGCTACGCACTGTTTGCTTCTTTATTCTTCCTTCCAGGGCCTCTTGGTTGTTCGTAAAGTTTTCCAGATTTTTCGAAGATTCATCGACAACTTTAAATGGGAACCGAAAAATCTAGAAAAAAATTGTTTCTCGATATTTCGAAGTAGTTAGCACATTGCGCTTGATTGGGAGTTTTATCAATCAGAAGGGAGCGCTTTCCTTATTGGGTAAAACTAAAGTTTTTCGGGTTTTTGTTCTTTGACTATTTTTTTTTCTTCTGTCTTGATGCTTGTTTTCTTTGCTTGAGTTGTCCTTTCTCCATTGCTACTCTCATGGTTGTTTTTTGAGAGCAATTTCCACACTCTTACTTTAGGATCATTTTCACAGTGAAGTTTTTCTTTAAAACATCCTTTGTTTGATGCTTCAAATCGGCCCATAATTTTGTTGTGCTCTGTAGGATTTTCTTCATATATACACTCTTGCTTTCGTTTCAAATATAACTGCTTTTCTTCATCATGCTACTCATTGTTTACTTATTTATTCTTCCTTCCAGGGCCGTTTGGTTGCCAGAGCCAAAAGTGTGTACTTAGTTTCACAAAACCCTTTTAAAAATTGTATTTATTTTCCAGTTTGCTATGATGGAACATTTCTCGCACGGAAACGCCATGGCGTTATGCCTAATGGAGAAAACCGCCATTAAAAACGTTCTAGTGGATTTCAATCACGAAGACTGCGAAAATGTTCGGCATCTTTTGTCCTTTAGGTAAAAAGCTCCCAGGCTGTTGCACATTATTTCATTGGACTGTTTTGTAGAAATTTGGTGGAATCTGAACCTTACGAGCAGAGAATTAAATTGATAACAGACGATGAATACTTCAAGCAGGCGGTTTGCGATAAAGTAGTGGCAATCCAAAGATACATCAAGCGGCTGCATGTATTTCTACGATGCTTACACGCCTTAGTTTATGATCTTCCAGGATCCCCTTTAGGCAAGAATGTAAGAGATTCCGAAGCCTTGTTCAGCTGGACTTTCACAACTGGAAAATATTATTCTAGCTCAGAGAACTATACACACTTGCTCTGACCAAAAGCATCACACAATCCGCAGAATATCGGGAAAGTTTCCAGCTGCTGGAGTTCCAATCCAAGGATGCGCTTCAAGAGAAACTGAGGCGTATTGCGGATATTTTGGCACAGTTTGTGAATAAGGGGAGTAGCAAAACGAAATTGAGGGATTTTTGCGTGGAGATTGATAGGTTAGTGAGAATCTTACAGAATACTGATGTAGAAGAGAGTGAAAAGGACGAGATCAGCCTTGAAGAGGGATTGGGCGCGATGATGGACAGAAAGGCGTTAAAACAGGTGCGTTTATGCATTTGACCAAAGTTTGTACATTTTTTTAGTTTAAGCCTTCTACAAATTATTTTATTGGGTTTATCATACGCGGGGTTAAAAATATCGGCTCTAATCTCACCAGTTGTATTTATTATAAGTGGTTTAAACCACTCTTAGCTTTGTAAGATGGAGCGGTTGAATTTATTGACTTAATTTCAGCTGCAATCTGCAAGATCAGACATTTGTTAAAATCGACAATGTGGTTTCAGGCTCTATTCTCTCGATCAAAACAGAAATCAAAGACGCAGGACAAATATGAGAAACTAAAACAAGAAATCCTCGCATATCTTTCCGGGCAGTTTGAAGAATATCTCGTCCATCCTAGCACATTGCCGTTCTACGAAATATTCTTTTTCGATGATATTTCGATTAAAAACCACATAATTGGCATCCATAGAGCGGCCATCCACAACGCCCTCAACGATCCGCATCGTTACTTGCAAGTAAGTTAGTCAGTTTTATTTTAAACCTACGAAACTTACAATGCAGTGAAAATGTATGTACAATAATTGGAAGCCACTATGAGCAATTTGCACTAAAGTAGTAAGTTCCTTTATCGAAGAAAAGCTGATTGGCTTGATGTTTTCACTGCCAAATGGCCAAATGTTTCCATTAAGCCTAGTGATTTAAATTTTCCGCGTGAAAAAATTATCAATGCTTGCACTAAAAACACACTTTACCTGATCTCACTGGTTTGCCAGTTCTACTGCAAAATGGACAATTTTTCCCACTAAACTTGATTTTTCCGCAAAATTTGGAAACTAATGAATTTGCATTTGATTTCTTTGTTTGAAGTTATTTTAGGTTTTTAGAAACACAAATTGTAAACTTTGTTTGGGTGTTTAGAAAAAAATGTTTTCACGAAATTGAGTGAACTTGAAAATCTGCTTCGTTACACTGGAGATTACACCAAGATTTAGAATCCAGTAAAAATGTAAAAAAATTGGCTGTGAAAAGCTACAATTGTTCGCACTAAAACACATTTTAAAGTAGATATATGTATGCATTTATGTTGCAAAAGTTGCAATTTCTCGGAGAAATTCTCACTGCCTTGTAGGTTTCAGCTCAAAAGGCGCAATTGTTTTCACTAAACTAGATGCCATCGCAAAAAAGTCGAAATACCTGGATTGTATGTTGCCAATAGTAGAGAAATATGCTTAGTTTGTATCTGTAAAAACTGAAATCTAGAAAACGACGCATTACCTATATGAACTTTTTCCTAAAACCGCCTGATAAATCATCCCCCTAATAATTTTTCCCCATAGTCAATTTTTCACATCTTTTTCCAGTCCGGTTAAGTATTAATTTAATCTGTTGCAGTGCAAATGTTGTGCCATATCGAACAAACGTACAGTAAAAGCATTAATGCCTGACATCTGTATTGCCTACAAGTTGCATTTAGAATGGGGTAAAATGATCAACCTGTACGATTGGCTGATGGGTTTCTTGTGCATAGTCGACCCACAAGAAGAGGACGATTTAAGCGACAAATCCAAAAAAGTCGTGGACCCGCATGTGCAGTATCCTTATTTTCTTGTTTCGTAATTTTGCCTTTTACACTGTTCTTTCCTTAACCAAATATTTAGGGCAAGATTTACCCAAGCAGTTGCGGAACTGGAATACCTGGGATTCATAAAAAGCTCCAAACGGAAGACTGATCACGTAATTAGGCTCACTTGGGAAGGCTGATATATGTAAGATTTAACTACGCTTATTATATGGAATTTATTTCTTTAAAATTTGTCGACTAAATGTAGAATGTGCTGCTGCTCCTGGTCCCTCCAGTCTTTGTCGCCTTCCTCCCCTAAATTACCTGCGTACTCCCTCATTATGTGTCTTATAGTCTTTAGAGATGCCCCTCGTAGGTTAAGGATCTTGAAAAAGGGTTAAAATTTTATCTAATAAACTGCTCAACAAAACGAACGTTACGCAGCCAAATTTCCCGTAACGTTGGAAGTGGAAGAATTCATTGATTCAAGCGATTTGGTTTCTGTTTGAAGCATCTATTTTTTGTTCGTCAATGTTTTGGTTAAAATTAAGCTCCTCAGATAAATTTTCTACAGGGTGGCAAATGAAAAAAACACTAAAATTTCGCAAAGCTCGGCACGCTCCTAGTTGGAAAAAAAAAGGTTTTTTGGGATCTCAAAACCAAAAGTTTACAGGTAGGTAAGAAAAGATAAAGATAAAACTAGGTAAAATTTTTCGGCCATCTCTTTTGCTTACAGGGTGGTCTCAAAAAGTCAACTTTTTGGTCTTGCAGCGATAACTTTTCTGATCTTTGTCCGATTTTCACGATCGTTAGCTCATATTGAAGCTAAAACTTTATAAATAATTTAAGACGAAAATTCGATATACGGGTTGCATTAAAAATTACTCAAATGTGATTTAGGAATAATTTCAACTAAATGAAGTTTACTTTCAAATATTTCGTTCATTCATGCAATCCGGTATATATAGGTATATATATAAAAAGTTAATTAAACCAAACACCGCCCTGAAAAAACACGAAATGAGCGACAGGTTCAAAAACTTTTTTTGAGATACGAGTATCTTAATGTCTGTTAACCCAGAGCTTGTGGAACTTTCGCCAATTTTGCATTGTTTCATTTGCCACCCTGTAGAACCGGTATCTGAAGCATTAGTTTTTCGCGCAAACACGCACTAACCGAAAAAGAAACAACGCTTTTAACTGAGACATCATCGCCCGCAGCAATTAGAATTGATCGGGTTGCAAAGTTTCGCAGAAATTGAGGCAAAAATATTACCTGCATAACGCGTTGCTTGATGCTCGATGGGCCTGCGGCGCATACTTCCACAATAATGTAATCAACCAGCTGTAAAGTGAACAGGCCACCCTCCAACCTCTTCAAGTAGTTTTCGTCCTCGTTTTCTTCACCTTCTTCCAGATGATCGTCAATTTCCTCCACCTTTTCCAGATACTTGAAGTGTAGTTCCAAAAGCCGATCTACTTTTTCGTGGTCATTTTCCGTGAACTTGCTGATAAGCCGCTGACGTTGAGAGCCTCTGTATGAATGAGCAAAAATCCAGTTGCGCTCGAAACAGAGTTGCTACTCTCACCTGCAGTTTCTTAACATGGAGGCGATAATGGAGCAGACGTGCTCCTCGTGCTCCTCTGAAGAGAGTACTTTCTTGCGGTTCTTCTTGGGGGTTTTCATGAACAACGGAAATATGGTTCTTAGTCCCAAAATGTCCACAAATTTGTTACCTGGAAAGCTCCAATAGTGGCAGGTTTGTTAATAGGGTTTAGGAAACGTACAATTATCTTTTCCATGAAGGCCGGACATGGCATAGTCCAGGACTTTGAGGGAGCCGTTTCGCGATGTTTTCTTCTCCCGCAGCATCAAGTTCATCAGCTGTAAGCCTTCGCCTTTGAGAAAACGATCGCGGTTAGGTGGCACCATTAGGGAACTGCATAAGCTGAAAGACCGTTTTGTGAAGTGCGAAGCTTTTGATTGGTACGACTTTGCCACTTACCAATTAAATAGATTTTCCATCAATTCGTGCTCCTCAGGGCTAGACGGGTCATGTCGTTTATAAAAAGCCAGTTGCTGCAATAAAGTATCAATCCCATCAAGCTCCCCCAGCAAAGTGCGATTTTTCTCATTGTCTTGGAGGATGATGGATAGCATTTCGCTAACATAAAGTTTATTCTGGTCAAACGGTGCCTTCACTTTTAGCCTTTTTAGCAACCAAGCCAGCAATCCTGGAAACATATGACTCAGAAAATAGTGCTGGTTTCCTTTCACTTGATGTACCCTGTTTTCCCGCCTCAACGCTGATATCAGCTCTCAGTTCTGTGAGATTTTCGATTATGGACAGCGTGTTGTGCACTCCATCAGCTTCTTCTTTCACGGTCTCATCCAAACGATCTAAGTTTTGCACCAGAAGAGCTATGACTTGATGCTCCAGTAGGGATTCCAGAAGGGCATCAGCCCCCTCTTCAGACTCATTTAGAATGTCCACATCAGTTAGCTCTTGTAACAGTTCAATGGTCGCAACCTAACTCTCTGGGTTTTAGTACAACCTTTACAAATGGTGTTGCGTGCTACTTACAGCAATATCAGTGTTATCATGCGCCAACAATTCCAACAGGCTGGGAATCACCTGCAATCTCACCAAGAGTGGATAGTAGTCGGGGGCGGTTGATAGGGCGCGCATTTCCTGCAACGTTTCGTGCAACTCGAGCTCACTCTCCATGAACTTGTCGGGTGAATCGGGAAATTTGATACGCATTTCGCGGTTTTTTAGCGAACGCTTTTCGAAATTTAGCACTATCTTCTTAATCGTTGTCGAATCTACCACGTCGCCCTAAAACTCGCAATCGTCAGACAAATAATTTATTTATCTAAAGGCTTAAATATTTAATAAGTTTCGTGATTGCTCATGTGGTACAAGTGGGTCATTTTTTAAACACTTGTGAGCTGTAGAACGTGATTTAGGAGTTAAATTGGCGCAGTGGCAGTCGGGGAAAATGTTTCAGCATATTTTTTCCAAGGATTATGATAGTCATGGGTAACACTCTGTTGTATCGCATCCACACCACATTCATCCCATTCTCAATAGATGATAAGCTCACCTGGACTTCTTCTGTTTCCACATACTTAACAATCTCTGCCCTCTCCTCCTCACTGATCTGATCCAATGCTTGGAGGGACGGAGTTGGAGAAGGAGCTCTGACCATTTGCTGAGCCTTGGCTCTGGCGATTTTCCTCATTTTCTTCGCTCTTTCCGACTCATCGTCTTTGCCCTCGCCTTCGGTGGGGCGCTTGAGAGCTTGCGGGGGCTTAAACGRGGACCTTTAGAGTCAAACAAGTGCAAACTTGAGCTAAACTCACTTTGTAGTCAAGCAATTCGCCTACATCCATGTCTATGTTSTGTTAAACAATTTAATGTTCACCAATCGATTAATTCTGGACAGAAATAAAACAATGTTTACAGTGTTTTAGGTTAGGAAGGTGCACAGAACATACCCCTAGGGGGGATATTTTGTGGGAAGGTGCTCTCATTCTAGTTGTCTTCATCTATGGGTGTTCTCGTCTTTTTTTTAGGCGCAGTGGCTGGATTTTTAAGCATCAGTCGTTTTTCAAAGAGAAAGAAGACTTAAATGCGAKTGTAATGATCAATGAGAAAGACAGAGATAAGCTGATTTAATCGACTGATTAACTGGACGTTAGATTATCTTCATCAAACCATATTCAGGGTGTGTTTAGGAAAATTACATTAATTTAGAAAAAAACGATTTCAGTCTACCGCATATACACGGTTGGATGAGATAATTTAGAATAAATTAACTAATCGTTAATTAATTCACTTTACAACCCAATGTAGCTGCTTTATCGTCACAATTGTTTGTCGCGGCGATAACACCCCCATTTATCTCTGCAACTTCCTTTTTCTACTGTACTGATAACATTTTGCATATTTTTTACTCATTTTAATGATAAACGGAGCAGAATAAAGTGCACAACGTAAAGAGAGAAAGCATAATGCGCAAAGGGGGAGCGAGATAGGAAATACAATATTAGTAAATTTAGTTTTGTCTCTGTTTAGTTGTCAAAATCAGCTGCCAGAGGTAGAGACTCAARGGAAGGAAAAACTAAYGAGAAAATGCAGTTTTTTAAAGAAAACGTGYACTGAAAAACAGTTAGTGACTGAAACGTGTGTGCCTGCTTCAAGATGCATCGTTTGTGCAAARAATTGTGCGTGGATACCTGAAGGTGCCCCAATTTCCATGGAAAATCGATTTCTCTAAGCTCCAGACGAGTAAATAATTAAAYCATGTCTGTAGGAGTCTTTGGGTATAGCCGGGAGGCTGTCAGGGTGAAAGTGAAGGTATATTACTTCTAAAACCTTTGCCGTGCCTAAGCTTATCRGCTTTCGGGATATCCGCTCAAAAATTCAGTTCYCAGGCTTAAAAATATGTTTATTACTGCTATAGSGTTCTGATATACTGCACGTGAATAATTMAAAAATCAGGTCTTACGTGCGTATACARGGAGTCAAAGTAACATGGCAAGTTCCTATWAGCAGGCCTTCCATAYGAAGATATACCGRGTGTCGATTKTAAAACTTCCCACCCTTAAWAKMTATTMWGGAAGAAAGTTGAAGTTAAAAATATGAAAAATCGGAAAGRCACGTCAATTTTMWTTGTAAAGGGGACACTTTGAATTAATATTTTTAGCTTCCKTGTTTCAACCCCCTAGGAGGGGTAGGTGTCACCCTTAGAACCCKAAATAGGAATGGGGGTCWGGTGGCACATCGCTTAAAAGGGCGTTCAATWMTCTTYCAATGGGTTTTATTGTAGAAATTTATCTCGTAAAGAAAACGTTATTTTTWTCCAAGTRAAATAACCAATAGATATGAAATCAATTGTTTAAACTAGATTTTCTTTCTCCCATTCAATGATTTAAACGGTGTAACCTACTCTTAATAGGATTAAAGCCAAAACCCACTGCACAACCCTTCCAACCAACTACTATACGAACGCACAAACATGACATAAATTCCGGAAAGACTAATACACTTACAGACAAAATGGACAAACAACCCCTATAACTGGACCATACTGAATCCCCTTTGCCTAACAAAACAGACAAAACACTCCCGTTTTCGTACCCCAATAGATACTTTACTAGAACACCTACAAACACAACTGAACTAACGACTAAGACCTGTTTGTTTTGTAAGCCAAGAATTTTCTTTTTTTTTATTACTGATTAGGTTATACGAGTGTTAGGAATAGGAATTAATTTTAGAATATGCTAGGCTAAGATGCATATGTACTACACAAGGGCAGAAAGACCGATTGGGTCTTTTCTATAGGAAATAAAGATTATTTATATTATATATAGGATTAAAGGAGCTTAAAGTTATAAGGAGACCCAAAATGCAACTTTTTTTGTGTAAACACTAACTTGAAAATCAAAGTCTCAATGCAGGCAAGTTTAATTGTTTCTGCATCTTTGAAACGCGATTATTCTGAAACCTTCTGGACTACAAGCAACAAAGTTGGATACCACTGAACAGAGAATTGAGAGCCCTTTAAAACGATGTGTCACTTGACCCCCATTCCCATTTGAGATTCTCAGGGTGACATCTACCCCTCCTAGAGGGTTGAAACAAGAAAGCTAAAAAATACTTTAAAGTGACCCCCTTAGAAATAAAATTGCCGTGTTTTTTCTGTTTTTTTCATATTTTTAACTGCAAGAAAGATATTAAGGGTGGGAAGTTTTCAAATTGACACCTCGTATATAGTTCCCTAAAAGACGCCACTGAACATCGGTTTTGTCGAATAACTTTTAAAGCATCTGGCATAATTTGATCATTTTTTAATATGATAGTAACTAGTTAATGGCCCTTAAAATGGTGTTTTGCAAAAACTCATTTTGTTTTTTGCTTGCCCCGAAGACCAACCAGCTTGTTCACATCAACACCCCTTATCATAATAGCACACAAAAACTATAAAAAATTTGGTACTTTYGATTGATATCGATAAAATGAACCCTTTTCCAGAAAACATCTATTATTTAAATYAATTTTGAATTACTTGAATTYTTTCTTTTCGAAATCGAAATGATTRATTGATTAATTAACAGYAACGATAAATTAGCAATAATTGATTTAATCACTGGGGGTCAACACTAGGGGTAGATTGTATGCAAATGTGGAGCTAAATATAAAAGAAACAGCTTACTTAATCGGGAAGTTCAATATAAAACCTGGTAAAATGTGTGATTTTATCAGGCCACCCTGTAAAACCACAGTGCATAAACATAGTATGCATTTTACACTCCTTTCTCCTTAAACCACGCATATGATACCGTCGATAACGAYACTCTTTTAAGATGAAAAGTAGATTTTATATACAGAAAAGTTGCCACCACTGTAGATGCTAAGCGGACTGTAAATAATCGTGTTTTTCATGCCTATTTGAGTTAATAAAGCTATTTAATTTAGAAATGTGAGGGCAATCAGCCAGCAGAGATCAGAAAGTTCAGCGTCGACCCTCAAATCACATCCTTTGAGGTGTTGCAAAGCATCCTGGCCAAGGCATTTGACTTGAAAGGGGACTTTGCCATCTGCTATCGGGCGTATGATGTGACCGGCCAGGAGATCTACATGCGCCTAATTTCCGACTGGGATCTGGATGCGGCTTTTCTCAAGTAACTAGCCAGTGACGTCTAACTATAGTAACGATTAATAAATCTATGGCAATTTTAGGGCACACAACACTTCGGTGGCCACCAATCAGGAACCGTGTCTTTGTCTGAGAGTTGATCTGAAACCGTTTGAGGAACAAATTGAGGACTGGCAGCAGAAGCAGAATGTGTCGATTATTGCTCAGATTCGGACTCCTACTAGTCAGGAGGCGAAGCCATCGTCTAGGTTTCATGGCATGATTAATCAGGCGAGTTTACCAACTAGGACAATCAGTTTTGATTACCCTCCGCTAAAAGGAGTGTTTGGTTCGAACACTTTCAAGGCACTAACCTTCAACAGCATACATTATATGTCAGCTTAGACCTATTTCCAACTCATTACCTACTATCGGGCAGAAAAACAAAAAACGTTGCTGCATAATTACAGATATCATATCGCTTATTTCATGAATTTGCCGTGTAGGCCTGATTTATTATGTAGGTGTTCTCTGCCACCTAGTCCAGACCATTATTTAACTGAGGAACTGTTGCTGATTCAACCGCTTTCAAGTCGTTATCCTATCGGTTGATTCTTCCTTTCGAATGTTTCTGGTGTGTACTTGTCGTTATTTTGTTTTGCGTTAAGGTCTGTAAAATTATAACTTTTTCCACCAATAATTCCGGCAGGTGAGAAACTATGTCGGTAACTTGAAACGAGTGAGACTCGTTACTACTGATTGCAACTGATCAGATTTTTGAGCACGAGTTAATTAACCCAATACGAGAATCCTCCCAGTAATGCGGCGAAGAGTGCACGAAAAGTTATTACACTGGCACAAACATGTATGGAGTTAATCGGGAACTTCGAACACCTCTTGTGAGTTGTCCACATTTCAAAACTGTTCTTTTCAAACCCAGAATGTTTTTCATATATGTATTTGTGATTGTAATTAGATCATTGATCAGTTTTGGGGGTGGCAAAGTTAGCATTTTATTTTATTAGTTTTTAATAATTCACACAAATCTCAGGAAACTGTAGTAAAATCTATATTTTGGGACTTATCGCAATACCACATCCAATCATTGAAAATTTACTTTAGGAATTTAAAATTGTTTAATTTAAGTTTATTATTTTGTTGTGATTCATGTGCAATTAATTTCTTTTAAACTAGAAAAGTTTTTTTGCGTTATTGTGTTTTGTTATTGTACGACAAATAAGAATACCTTTCTTACGTAAATATGAGAGGAAAATGAGGTTGATACGGGGAGGAACTAAAAATATATTATTGGATAAAGTTTGGAGACATGATTGGATGTGGTATTGCGGTAAGTCCGAGCGTATTTTTATACAGTTAACTCACCCTGTATAAATGTAGGTATTTTCTGTGGCCTGCGCACATTTTTTAAATGTATTGTTCGCCTCTTGTGAAAAAAGTGTTCAGAAAAATGTTCAAAAAAGTGTTTAAAAAAGTGTTCATCTAGCCATCAAGTGTAAATAAGTATAAACAATGCTTCTGTTTTTTACAGGTGGGTAAAACCCTCAACATGGTGCAAAAAGTGCTGAACTTCGGAGACGATATGAACTCCAGTGTTCAGCCTTCAATACCAGCACTGAGCGATGGAGAGTTTCGAAAATTTTGCGACGCAGTCGGGCAAATTGTGCACGCGAAAGAACTCAGATCCGTAATTTATTACGGCGGCATTGAGCCAAGTCTCAGGTATGCATTTTATTAATGTTGTATTGTTTTAATGAGCATTTCGTTAAATCAGCTTTGAAGTTGATTATTTGTTTGCATAAAATGCATTTCTGAAAGTGTTGTTGGACTTAATGTTCAAAATATTAAACCTATAAAATATTGGAATTGGAACTCTGTTTTAGGAAAGTTGTCTGGAAGCATTTGTTGAACGTTTATCCAGAGGGAATGTCTGGACGCGAAAGAATGGACTACATAAAGAAAAAAGCTGCTGAATACGAGAAGCTGAAGAGCACATGGAAACAAGCTATTGCTCAGGTTGGTAAAGTTTATGCTCCGGTGCACTCATACACGGTGTCCTGAAATAAATCCAACTATTTTTTGCTAAATGGACCTTCCATTTGGGTAACATTCGTTTCGTTCATCCACTAAAATTCGTCAATCGTTTGTCTAGAGTCTATCAGAGCCTGGTTTTACGATAATTAATAAAATTGGTGCAATACAGTTTGACCAAGACTAAGGTGTGCGGCTCTTAAAAGGCACATTAAAAAAATATGTTTTACAATGGAGCGTCTAGTTATAGGCAGATATATTTAACGATTATGTCTAAATGGCATTCTGGCAAGTTCTTAATGTCCATTAAAGAGCTAAATATTTATTTTATAAAAACGAATTAAATACAAAAATAAACAATAATAAAAAATATGGGAAGCTATCAGGGAGGCAACCAAGGAAACTGTAAATAAAAATGTAAATATAAACTCGATAATTGAAAATGGTACGGAAATAACTGAAAAAGGTCAATATCTGGAAGGTTTCTGGACTGTTATTGTAATATCGGAAAAAACCTTAATAAATTACTTGAAAAGTGCGTTCAAATTAAATGGAAAATACATTTAAAAAATATTAAATTATTGTCAAGTTGGTTTTCGAAGTAAAATGAGTACTGAGGATGCAATCCAACAATTGAGACAAGGATTAAATAATTTTAATGAAGGCCATAAGACCTTGGGCATTTTTATAGATCTTGCAAGAGCATTTGACACTGGCACATCACATTCTCTTGCAACTGCTTAATGACGTGGGTGTACGAGATACCGAGTAAGCACTATTTAAATCATACCTTAGTAATCGAACACAACAAGTAAAAATTAATAACCTCGTTGGAGAGATGGGTGCGGTTGAATGTGGTGTGCCACAGGGTAGTCCTGGGCCACTTTTATTTTTAATCTATTTAAACAACCTTACAAGAATTTTACCTGAAATGGATTGTTCTGTTATCTGTTACGCTCATGATACTGTAATTCTAGTAAAGGTAGGATCATGGTCAGAAGTACAAGGGTTAGCTGAAGGATATATTACATTGGTTAAACTTTGGATGGATCAGCATCTTCTAACTCTAAATAGCCGTACAACACACTTCATAAATTTCTCTACTTATAACAGTAACCATCAAGATGAACCTCTGGAACTTACAATGTATATTTATCCTTCTTTTGCTAATCTGATGGAAAATTGTGCTTGTGATTCTAAAATTTCTTCAGCTATGTACACAAAATACCTCGGAGTTTATATGGATAAAAACTTAAGTTGCAATATGCACATTGATTACCTAACTAAAAAGATAAGGAAAACAATCTATAAGTTTTATCAACTATGTGATTCTATGCCTCGTGAGTTGTTGGAAATGGCTATGTGGTGTAGTCTCTGATTGACTCCATTCTAAATTATGGTATAAGAATTTGGGGTAGTGTTTGCAGTACAACCTTATCAAACCTAGTTATTACACAAAAATATATACTAAAAATAATAAATAAAAAACCAAAAAGATAACCAACAGTTAATCTATTTTTGGAAATTGGTGCTCTCACGGTTAGAAAACCCTTAACTTTATGAAAAATAAGGACATTTACAAGATTCTACCCCAGCGCCTTAATATTACTAGATCTGTCAAAAGAGAACACATTTTTTAACTACGGTGGATTTTACAATTTGTCGCCGTCATATTTCTTATGTGGGGCCAAGAATCTTTCATCTTTTACCAAAGGATTATAAGAACTTAAAGAAAAAACTGTTTAATGTATGGATAACTGAATGGATAAGGTGCAATTATGAAAATGTATTACTAAACCTTTACCTTTTTTAACATAAGGAAATATTTAGAACATAAATAGATATGGGTAAACCATTAAGTCTGTTGTAGTCTTTTACTTTTTGCAAATTTAATCTATAAGTTAGTTTGATTTGTGTTTCATAATAATCTCTCCAATTTATTGTAAATTTGTTACTTATTGTATTTGACAAACTCTGTCCCGACAAGTCACTTGTAAGTTAGGGCACAAATGCTTACTTTGTAACAATACTGTAAATTTCAAGTGATATATTTGAATATTTCTTCTAATATTACAATCACATAATATTTTTGCAAACATGCAGCTTTTTTCGAAAAAATACTCAAAAACGTCAGTTTTACAGACTGAGACAGTAAAATTCGTGATGCTATTGTAATTCCCATATGCTTGGATATGATCTTTGTCACCTTTAACTGTTTTTTGTTGTTTTTAGGGCCCTGTCGCCGGAGAACTGGCCTACACGACTGGAATGGTGCGCAAAGACGTGCTCAGAACCGATCGCCATCATCCATTCTACGCAGGAAGTGATGACAACCAAAACATCCACTCATTGTTCAACATTCTGACAACGTAAGTTGCTTGAAATCTGCTGAATATTTTGGGAAAATGATTTGTGAATTTTCCAGGTACGCGTTAAATCATCCCAAGGTTTCCTATTGTCAGGGAATGAGCGATTTGGCTTCACCACTTTTAGTCACTATGAACGATGAAGCTCACGCCTACATCTGCTTTTGTGCGCTCATGCAACGCTTAGTGACGAATTTTATGATCGATGGCATTGCCATGACGCAGAAATTCACTCATCTGGCAGAGGGTTTGATGTATTACGATCCTGAGTTTTATAATTATTTAAAGGTGCACCAGGTAAGACATCTTCTATTTTTAAATTGATTTTCCTACTTATTTGTTTTTCGGTTTAAATTTGCTTAAAATTCTCGGCTTTTCAGGCAGTCTATTTATTAGAATTAATACTTAAATGCAACCGTAGTAGATATTCACGACTAGTTTATTCTAATATAGTATTGGTTGATATAGGGTGTCTCAAATTCACCAAAGTTACGAAATGATCTATTTTTAATGCATATTTGCAATATGCTAAAACCAAACCATTCGATAAAAATGTTCTATATCGATATTCAATTGCTTTTGAGTTTATAACGACCAGTGATTGAACCACCACAAATGCCTAATTTTCAAATTAGGCACTAAAATGGAAAGAAACGGGAAGGAAAAAAGAAGAAATGGTTATTGTTATACATATAATTAATTATTTTTCTCTAGGAAAATATTTAAATTAAATTTTTTCTCTAAATTAAAAACATCATTTGAGGTGGCTTGTTGGGTGACTCAGATTCCATCAGTACTGATTATTAACTCAAAAATAACTGAATAACCGGACACTGAGATATGTAAAGAAAAATTACTTTCAATAATTTTATCATTTAGAATTATTAAGAAACGTACTTTTGCCCCATGGTATAATCGAGTCAGGAAGGTTTCTCACAAATTACGTGTTGTTTTTAACTCTCAAGAGAAGAGGCTCATACCCATATTCAAGGCTTTTGGGTTCTTCATTTCAATTCAATTTGATTTTTTCTAAGAGAATTTGAACACCCTGTAGATCTAAGAATACGCGATATAATGTGAAACCTTCATAAACTATAGCATCGACTTGGGTCGCCTTTTTCCTGATTTTTCAGTCCTGTCAATCTAATAGATCTTTTTTGATTTAGAATAGTCAGTGGAAATGAGTTTTCCAAGTATTTAACTTAATTTTCTTTTCACATTTTAGGCTGACGATTTACTATTTTGCTACCGTTGGCTGCTTTTGGAAATGAAGCGTGAATTTGCATTTGGCGACTCGTTACGAATGCTGGAGGTTCTTTGGGCCTCATTGCCCGCTGACCATCCGCAACTTGAACTAAAGCTCTTTGATATTCCGTTTCAGCACATTCCGCCCAGCGCAACACCACCCATCAGTCCGCTGGTAAGTTATTGAATTTTGTTTCGTTTGATCTGGATTCAAGGGCATTATTACTATTCAAGGCTACAAAAAGTGTAATTTACAACAGAACAAACATTAATCGAGTAAAATTAGCTTCAAAGAAAAAAACGTTTTCAAATTGTAAATTCAATCCCAAATCCACAAACTTTGCCGTCTTTTGTGTGTGAGTGTGAGATTTGTAGTCTCGGATTCCAAGGTTCGAATTTAGGGTTCGAAATTTCATTTTTTAAGAGGTTCAGGTACTTAAGATGCCACGCTGGCCGAGCGTGTTGGTGAATGCTTGCATCAGCCGCTCCTAACATGGAGAAGTGAGACTGTTTGCTGCCGCCCAATCTGGGTCAAACGCTGCATGGGAGTCTTCTTAGCATCGCCTTAATCGCATCGAGAGCTTACCGGCGTACTAGTAGGCCCTCTCACTAACGACTAAGTGATGACAAATAGGGAAAAATTGATCCTACAAAATAAACGGATCAAATCTATAAGAAAAAGTCGTTATTAGTAAATAAAAGCATTTTAAAGAGTTACCTGTTTCAAAGCTGCAAAATAAAAAAAAAATCAACAAGTACATAGAAGACAAAAATAAGTGCGCTGATTCATTTAAAGAAAACCGCAATATAAAATCCGCAAAAGGCCCTATAAAATCAAAGAATCATCAAGTATCAAAGAAAAGGTACAACCCTCTTTGTCATCTAGTTCTTTATTTCAAAATAAAACGCTGTCCGGATCCAGAGCGCTGAAATTCCCTAAAACTCATATTTTTCCTCAAAAATACTCAATACCATTTAAACGCTTAAATTTAGAACAGACGCAAGTCCAGTTATAATCTTGATCTGGACCACTTACAGCCTGAAGGGTGCTGGAGAGCCAAAAAACGGGAATAGTCGGAGGGATCCTGGCCGCTGAAAATCCCTAGCACGAATTTTTGTAAAAAATCAGTGTGTTAGTGTGTGAAACTTGGAAAAATTGCGCGAAGCCTAAATTAGGACGCCAGGACCACTGGTGGCCTCTTAAGGCGCTATTCGCTAGACCTCCACAAAGTAATAAAAAATATATTCACCTACCCTCTGTGGTACTATTACATTTCGAAACAGCAAAAATTGAAATTTACCGCAAAAACACTAATAAGCGATATTTATGCTCTGAATATAATTGAAGATGTTTTTGCATCAGAACACCCCTATTTTACCTAATAAAGCAGTCTACTGTGGCAAATTTGATTAGGTAAGATTGTGCCAAAAAGACTTAAAACTCGAACTGTTCTTATTGATAATGTGTATAAGAACCGTTTAATTTCGTGTTTAATTCCCGCAAGGAAAAAGTAATTATCTGGTTTTGGGCTCCCTGGATTTCGATGATAAGTGACTTCCGTTGTAGATTATCCCCTTAATAACACTTTTTTTAGCGACATTTGTTCCGAAAATGTTCTTGTCAACGACCTTTCGACGATGGAAAGTTAACCATTCTCCCCTGCTTGAGACGACAGTTTCAATTTTTGAGCCCTTTGAGCTCATTATTTTGTGTAAAAGGCATAATTTATTAATTCTGCTTTGGTAGCAGCATTACGAGCTACGGAATACGTAACTTGATATTGACCAGATTTTTTCCATTGGTCTTTTGCTCTATTTTCCTGAATTTTTTTACTTTTGAAGCTTGATATGTTGGATAAGGTCCACTCGAATGGCCGATCCATATTCAGCCCAGCTCATGATTTGTCATTGCCTTCTTCTGCTCGCAGCAATAAAGCGACGGGAAACTTAACTTTAATTTCACACGAGCTTCCCTTTGACTCTTTTGCTAGATTTTCATTAAATTCTGCACTTTTATAGCTGTATATATAGTTTTTAAAAATGTCTAAAATCAGATCTATACTCAGCCCAGCTTGTGGTTTGTGAAGGTTTTTCTTTGCTCGCACCAATAACAGCGCCGGAATATTTAACTTTATTTTCACATTGGCTCGTGGATCAGCCGGTTGCTG